ATTTCAGTATTGATAAGGAGACTTAAATAGGAAAATGAATATCCCAGTGATCTAATTGAATCTCAGACATTATTTATTTTTTTCTTTTATTACTTTGGTGGGTCAACTGAATGTGAGTAAAATAATGATAAATTTATTTTATAAACAAGGAAATATTCATTTATTTATCTTAACTTGGCTCTGAACCTTTCTGCTACTTCCACCAAAGTCAGCTAAATCAAGGATGGTTCATTTGAAGAGGTTCCATTTGATGCAATATATATTTATTTGTGACCCATATCTCCTCCTGTGAGAATTCCCTCATTTAGGGGAAAGGCATACTTCCTGCTCCTGGTGTTTCCTCTTATGTACAGGGTGTGCATTAATGCAACACTTGTGTCCTCTCTCCATCCTTTTGCTCACTCCTGGAAGGGCAGTGGTAGAAGGGGCAGAAAGTAGTAATTCAGCTGATTGGTGATCTTGAGGAGGATTGGAGATGCTTAGCCCTATATTTTCCTTTCTCCTTCTTAGAAAAGCAATGTTCACAGCGTACATGTTCCTGCCAAAGAGGAAAACGGGTCCCACTCCAGTGCTGCAAATGAATACATTTGTACAATTTTAAGGGGAAGACCAACTATCTAATTTTTAGGACCCAGTGAAAGGTGAAAATGTGACTCTCTTTGTTTAAAGAACAGGAAAAATATGTCATTAAAGGAACACATAAAGTGTTTCCTTTTTTCTACTTTCACTCTCAACTTATCATGGTGCTCTTTGTTTGCTATTCATTGTTGTTCTAAGTAAACTAAAAATTTTAAATAATTATTACTACGATTTTTTCATTAGTCTTCGTATTCTGCAATAATAATTTTAAATAGAAATATCAGAGCATTTAACTCCTATGCAAAACCACCAAGATTCTCAATTTGTATTTGTTGGCTTATTCTTGGGGGAGGTGCCTCAAGCTGGCCATATGAGATAAACATTCCAACTAACAATAGAGAATGGTAGCAAACTAGAAATAAAGGACATTTTCTCAACCTGATTAAAGGTCATCTATTAAAAAACCAATAACGCAACTAACATCATTCTCATTGGTGAAAGACTGAAAGTTTTGCGTTTAGGATCAGAAATAAGCAAAGAATGCTTTCTCTCACCACTCCTTTCAACATTGTAATGGGGGGTTTTAGCCAAGGGAATTTGGTGATAAAACGAAATAAAAGCCAACCAGCCTGGAAAGAAAGAAGTAAAAAAAAAAAAAAAAAAAAAAAAAAAAATCTCTATTTGCAGATTATATGGTCTTATATGTAGACAATCCTAAGTACGTCACCAAAAAACAACTAGAAGTAATAAATGAGTTCAGCAAGTTTTCAGAATATAAGATCAATTACAAAATAATTATATTTCTATACAGTAGCAATGAACAACTGAAATGAAATCACAAAAACATATTTTCAGTAGGATTGAAAAGAATAAAATATTAAAGAATAATTTTAACAACAAAGTGCAAGTCTTGTACACTGTACATTGAAAACTACAAAACATGGTTGAAAAAACTTGGAGATATACTAAGTAGAGAAACAGCAACAGCTTAGGTCAAATGTCTCCCCTTCTCACCAGCCACTGGATTGAAACACAAGGCCTTAGACGGGGTGGGGTCTGAGAAAATTGATGAAAAACCTCCCTTTCTACAAACCCACAGCCCTATCTCACAGCAGATGGGTTACTCCCAAAAATTTTTAAACCTCTGCACTGGGTAACGCTCAGTGTTTTGATTGGAGTGGGGAAATGGTGGAGATTTGAGAGGTTTACCACTCCTGAGATGTGGCTTTCTGCTGGTCACCCACCATGCACACCAAGCTGCTGCCAGCTCACAGTGGGAACAGCCACTGCTAAGCCTGTCCAAAAGATGCCATGGATATATGCACTCACTCTTGATTCTTCCCAAGCTCCCATCTAGGCCCCTGCCTGGGTAGGGGGTGGCAATGGTTATAGAGTGAGGAAGGAGAAGACAGGTGGGCTGGGGCTTGGGAGCAGTCAGGTGAGGACTCACTCTGGCAAGAAGGCAGGAGTGAAGACTGGGTATGAGAAAAGGCTCCAAACCCCAGAGCACAGTTCTTTGTCACATTGAACTTCACTTGCAAAACACAAATTCAAAGATAAAATTGTTAAGAATTTTAGTGAACTCCCATTCACAATTGCTACAAAGAGAATAAAATTCCTAGGAATACAACTAACAAGGGATGTGAAGGACCTCTTCAAGGAGAACTACAAACCACTGCCCAAGGAAATAAGAGAGGACACAAATAGATGGAAAAACCTTCCATGCTCATGGTTAGGAAGAATCAATATCATGAAAATGGCCATACTGCCCAAAGTAATTTATAGAGTCGATGCTATGTACATCAAGCTACCAATGACTTTTTCACAGAATTGGAAAAAAACACCTTTAACTTCATATGGAACCAAAGAAGAGCCCGCATAGCCAAGACCATCCTAAGTAAAAAAAAAACAAAAAAAAAACAAAAAAAAAAAACAAAGCTGGAGGCATCGCACTACCTGACTTCAAACTATATTACAAGGCTACTGTAATGAAAACAGCATGATACTGGTACCAAAACAGAGATACAGACCAATGAAACAGAACAGAGGCCTCAGAAAGAACACCACACAACTACAACCATCTGATCTTTGACAGACCTGACAAAAACAAGCAATGGGGAAAGGATTCCCTATTTAATAAATGTTGTTGGTAAAACTGGGTAGCCATATGTAGAAAGCTGAAACTGGATCGTTCCTTACACCTTATACAAAAATCAATGCAAGATGAATTAAAGATTTAAACATGAGACTTAACACCATAAAAACTCTAGAAGAAAACCTAGGCAGTACCATCCAGGACATAGGCATGGGCAAGGACTTCATGAAGAGTACACCAAAAGCAATGGCAACAAAAGCCAAAATAGACAAATGGGATCTAATTAAACTTGAGAGCTTCTGCACAGCAAAAGAAACAATCATTAGAGTAAACTGGCAATCAACAGAATGGAAAAAAATTTTTGCAATCTACCCATCTGACAAAGGGCTAATATCTAGAATCTACAAAGAACTTAAGCAAATTTACAAGAAAAAAACAAACAACCCCATCAAAAAGTGGGCAAAGGATATGAACAGACACTTCTCTAAGACATTAATGCATCCAGCAAACATATGAAATAAATGTTCATCATCACTGATTATTAGAGAAATGCAAATTGAAACTGCAATGAGATACCAACTCATGCCAGTTAGAATGGCGATCATTAAAAAATCTGGAGATAACAGATGCTGGAGAGGATGTGGAGAAATAGGAACACTTTTACACTATTGGTGGGAGTGTAAATTAATTCAACCATTGTGGAAGACAGTGTGGCAATTCCTCAAGGATCTAGAAATAGAAATACCATTTGACTCAGCAATCTTATTACTGGGTATATACCCAAAGGATTATAAATCATTCTGTTATAAAGATACATGCACACGTATGTTTATTGTGGCACTGTTCACAATAGCAAAGACTTGGAACCAACCCAAATGCCCATCAATGACAGACTGGATAAAGAAAATGTGGCACATATACACCATGGAATACTACACAGCCATAAAAAGGATGAGTTCATGTCCTTTGCTGGCACATGGATGAAACTGGAAACCATTATTCTCAGCAAACTGACACAAGAACAGAAAACCAAACCCCGCTTGTTCTCACTCATAAGTGGGTGTTGAACAATGAGAACACACAGACACAAGGAGGGGAACATCACACAATGGGGCTAGGGGAGGAATAGCAAGGGTTAAGGCGATTAGGGAGGGATAGCATTAGGAGAAATACCTAATATAGATAATGGGGCAATGAATGCAGCAAAGCACCATCATGGCATGTGTATGCCTGTGTAACAAACCTGCACAATCTGCACATGTACCCCAGAACTTAAAGTATAATAAATAAATTTTAAAATAATAATAAAGAAAGAAAGAATTTTAACAATGTAACCATGGAACATTTAATCCCAACTGTGGGACTCTTAGCATGAGCCCCCATTCCACCAGATTGCATGTCTGCAAAGCCAACCCTGTATAGGATTCAATACTGGGAAGTTCACTTGCCCATGAATTTAAGTTACTACTTTAATATTGGCTTTACATTAATGCAGGTGACAGTTTGCCCCCATTTGACCTGCCATTTTGTCTTATTTCTCAATTGGTTCAGATTTTTGGCAGAGATGGAGACTCCTCTAAGATTCTAACTTCACCTACCTAATTTTTGCTTTTTGAAGGAAATACAGAGAAAGCAACAATTAGGTCATACATACCTTGAGGTCATGTTATGTGCTTACAAAAGGTAGTATTAACCAGTAGTTAAAAACATGGGCTTTGGCATCAAAACAAATTTGGTCTCAACTTCAAGTTCTGTCAATTTTAGTTGATGCTTCCTAGCAAATTATCTCCCTTCCTTTGCCGCATTTATAAAATGACTTGACAGTAGTACTTACTTCTAAGTATTGTGAAGATGAATGAGATAATGTAAGTAAAGCATTTGGCATACACAAGCAATCAACAGTGCTTGTTTTATTATTTAATCAACTTAATATAAACTATTCTAGCCAGATTAAAGATCTTCTAAGACATACTGTTTACTAAAAACCACAGAAGGGTAATATTAACATGTAAGGGACAGAGTTCCAAAACATTTAATGACACTGAATAATCAATACTTTGGATGTTCCCCTCCAAGTACCTGGCCAGCTCTCTAAATATTCATAATGAAGTACCATGATGCAGAAAGTGCATACCTTTAGCTATAAGTGTAACTACATTCATTCATCAAAGACAATTTAAAGGTGTTCAAATCTATTGTCTACTTATGTTTAAAATTCTATCTAATGCTATAAAGTAGATTAATATTTTAAAAGTTTAAATTACAATGATTTTTGCTAATAAGTTTATTTTCTTTCTTGTGTTTCTTTGTTTACGCTGTCATCTAGAAGTCCCAACTATTCCCAAAGAATTGTTTCCTCTGGTTCTTCCCAGGAAGCTAAGAAACATATATTTTAAGGTAAGAATTATTATGTAGTGATATTGTAGTATAGTGGCCTCTGAGGGAAAGGTAATCTAATAACAAGCCCAGCACTACTTCCTAGTTTTTCTGTGATATTAAGCAAGTTCTTCAACTTTTCTGAACACTTTCCTTATTTATAAAATGAAAATTATACCAATACCTCACAGAGTTGTTAAGAAGAGTAAATATAATTATATATGTATATATATCATTATGTTTAGTATTATAAATATTTATATACCTGTAGTTTCATACATACACATATATGCTATTATTACTATTCCACTGCTTGTTTTCACTAATATCTCAAGGTTTCTATGTGCTTTAAGGATACAAGAACAGAAAAACAAACACTGCATATTTTCACTCATAGGCAGGTGATGAACAATGAGAATACTTGGGCATAGGGAAGAGAACAACACTCACTGGGCTTGGGGCAGAGAGGGGATAGGAGGGACAGTGGGGCGGGGGGGCGGATGGGAAAGGATAATACTGGGATAACACAACACCGGGAGAAATCCCTAATGTAGGCGAGGGGTGGGGAGTTGGAGACAGCAAACCACCCCATACATGCTATGGATATAACATGTATGTACCTATGCAACAATCCTGCAGGATGCAGGATGTATACATGTACCCTGGAGTCCAAAGTACAATTAAAAAAAAGAAATTGATTTTTACTAACACAAATTTTTGCCTAAAATATGTACATTATTGGAACAAAAATATTTGAAAAGTTGCTATCAAACTACTCAGGGATTTGTCATTCAACTGAGAACTTATAATGGAGGAGCCAGGGTATCAAATCTTTGCACTGATTCTCTTGCGCATTAACAGTGCCTTTTATGGTCAGGGAGATAAGATTTAAATGTGGTCATTTTCCTATTATTCTTAAAATTATAATTTAAAAAAAAATTTTACCAAGCTAAAATGTAGCTACTACCACAAGAAATAATGAAAATAGCTAACATATGTTGTACAATTTTAACGTCTGACACCATATTTTGCTCTATACACATTTAAAATGACCCTATAAGTAAATGTTACAATTTCCACCAAGAAGGTGATAAAACAAAGTTTTATTTGGGTTACAGAAATTGATGAAGATTTCATGGCTGACACGTGGTAGAATTCAGATTTGAACATAGTTGTGTCTGCTTCCAAAGCATGCTGTATGCCCAAGCAATAATTCTGTAAGTAAATTTTTTTCAGTTGTGATTTCTGGCTTCCAGAATTTTCTGTTGTTAAATCAGAATTCTTCTTAGTATTTGAGGTGTGTAAAATAAGTCAATGATCAGAGGTCAGCAAAGCTTATATTTGAAAAACTTTGGCTTGGCGCAGTGGCTCTCACCTGTAATCACAACACTTTGGGAGGCCGAGGCAGGTGGATCATTTGATATCAGGAGATCAAGACCAGCCTGGCCAATGCGGTGAAACCCCATCTCTACTAGAAATACAAAAACTAGCCAGGAGGTAGTGGCACGCACCTGTAATACCAGCTACTCAGGAGGCTGAGGCAGGAAAATCACTGGAGCCTGGGAAATGGAGGTTACGGTGAGCTGATATCATGCCACTGCACTCCAGCCTGGGTGACAGAATGAGATGCTGTCTCAAAACAAAAATGAAAACAAAAAACTTTAAGAACCCCTATATTATGAACATATATTTGAGCACCTGTGTGAAAAAGGGGAAACTTGTTACTTCCTGAGGCAACAGCATAAATATTGCTGGTATTTATCCTGATGAAAATGTATATTTCTATTAATTAAAAGCTTTAAAATATTTATAAATTAATTATGATTCTGGAATTCCACTTGAGAGTCTCTTTCTTAAGGATATAGTCCACAATACCAAAAATATTATATGCACAAGGGTGTTTATACAGTGTTATTTAAATTTTTAAAGTACATATACATGCTAGGCATGCAAGGTTAGCTTAATAGCTGAAAATTAATCAGTATAATACACCATAGTAACAAAGAACAAACACTTCATGTTCATTTCAGTAGACTCAGAAAAAGTAGTTGGCAAAATTCAAGAAAACATTATGATAAATTCACTCAACAAACTAGGAATAGAAGGTAATTTTTTAAACTGGATAAAAGGTATTTATAAAGAACTTATAGCTCTTCTCATACTTAATGATGAGAAACTGAATGCTTTCCTCCTAAAATCAGGAATAAGAAGAGGGTCACTATTTTCACTCAACATTCTCTTGGAGGTTCTAGCCAAAACAATTATGCAAGAAAAGACATGAAAGGCAATCAGATTAGGAAGAAAGAAGTAAAAACTACCTTTATTTGCAGGTGACATACCTTGTATATAGAAAATCATAAGGAATCCACACAAAAAATTATTTGAACAAATAAGTAAGTTCAGCAATGTGGCAGGATACAAGATATTAAAAATTCAATTTTATTTCTGTACACTACCAATGAACACTCTGAAAATAAAATTAAGAAAGCAATGTAATATATAATAGCTGCAAAAGAATAAAATAAAAAAAATTAACAAAAAAGTACAAGACATGTACACTGTGCACTGAAAACATAGTTGAAATAAATAAATAAATAAGCAAATGGAAAGGTAGCTCATGTTCATGGATTGGAAGACTTAATAGCAATAAGATGGCAATTGTTCCCAAAGTTGATCTGCAGTTTCAGTGCCATCCTACCAAATTTCAGCTGCCTCTTTTTTTTTTTTTTTGTAAAAATGGAAAACTAGTCATAAAATTCATGTGTTCTTGTGTAAGGAATGCAGAATAGCCAAAACAATCTTTAAAAAAGAATTTAAAAATTGGGATACTCATACTTCATGATTTCAAAATCTACAGTCATTAAAAGAGGATATTACTGGCATAAAGATAGATATAGAGATCAATGAAGTACAATTGAGAAGTTAGCAATAAATATTCACATGTGGTCAAGTGATTCTTGACAAGGGTGACAAAAAATTCAGTAGGCAAAAAAAAAAAAAAAAAAAAATAGCTGTTTCAACAAATGGTGCCAGGATAAGTTGATGTCCACATGCAAAAGAATGAAATCAAATTTCTATCACATACAAACATTAACTCAAAATGGATCATACACTTAAATAAAAATGTTAAAACTATAAAACATCTCAAAGAATGCAAGTTTGGTTTAATAGCTGGTTGATTAAATGCCTAATAAACAACAAGGCTTATTTAATAGCAGTAAATCTTTTGTGGCCTTTGGCTAGGCAATGGTTTCTTAGGTACCAAAAACAGAAGCAACAAAAGAAAATAATAGATTACTTGAAGTTTATCAAAATTAAAAACATTTTTGCATCAAAGGATACCACCAAGAAAATGCAAAAACAATTCATGAAATGGGAGAAAATATTTGAAAATCATATCTTATTTAAAAATTGTACCCATAATATATAAAGAACTCCTATGGCTCAACAATAAAAATACAAAAACCATAATTATAAAATAGGCAAGTGATTCAAACAGAAATTTCTTCAACATACATATTGAGAATATGTAATGGCCAATAAGCACATGAAAAGTTCAGTATCCGTAGTCTTTAGAGAAGTGCAAATCAAAACCACAATGAAATACTACTTCAAACCCACTAGGATGACTAAGATTAAAAAGTCATACTGCAACGATTTTTGGTGAGGATGTAAAGAAATTAGAAGTCTCATGTAGTGCTGATGGAAATGTAAAATGGGGCAACTATTTTGGAAAACAGTTTGCAGCTCCTCAAAATGCTAAACAGAAAGGGAAAAAAACTAAAGAGATTTACTATTTGACTCAGAAGTTTTATTCTTAGATGTATACACAAGATAAATGAAAATTTATGTACAAAAACTTGTACATGAATGTCAAAAGCAGCATGACTCATGATAGACAAAAGGTGGAAACAACCAACATGTCTATCATTTGATTACTGGAAAAACAAAATGTGATATATGTGTACAATGGAATGTTATACAGCAGTTAAAAAACCAATGAAGTACTAAGACATGCTACAACATTGATGACCCTTGAAACCATGCATCTTAAAAGCATCCAATCATCAAAGACCCCACATTGTTTGGATACATTGATGATAAATGCTTAGAACAGGCAAATCCACAGAGACTGAAGGTAGCTTAGTGTTTGCTTGGGGCTAGGGTGGGAAAGGGGAGCAGAAGTGGGAAATTTCTGTTGATGCATATGGAATTTCTTTTGGAGGTGTTGGAATGTTGCCAATTAGACTGTGGTGATGATTAACACAGCTTTGCGAATATACTCAAAATGATGGGATTGAAAAAAATGTACTGAGGGAGCATTATTCTGAGCAAGTTCATAGTGTTGGGGTTGCAAAAAATAAATATGATACAGTCTCTGCGCCAGACGGAAATTATATATATATATATATATTTCATACATTTTTTTTTAAAAAAAGCTCATGCACTAATTTAAATAAATGAACAAATAAGTCAGAAGACAGGAAACATATATGAGAAATCTTCACTGCCACCATTAATCAAAGTGATATAACTTTAAGCAGTAATAAAATACTTTTCTCTTTTAAATAATCAACTAGTACATTTAAATTCTGACACCTTGTTCTGACAATAGTGTGATGAAACTGCCAACCTCAGGGGCAACTGATGGCAGTTAAATCAGCATTTTGTTAAAAAGCAATTTGGAAACGTACATCAAGGGCTATAAGTTTTTACACTAATTGAACTAATAATTCCACTTGTTGTACTCTATCTTAAAGAAGTAATTTGAAGAATGGAGGAAGCTATTTCAGAAAGTAGACCAAAGGAACACTTATATGTATATTATCACATTTAATTCTCTCAATAAACTCATTAGTTATATATTCTTTGCTTCATTTACAAAGAAACTAAAGCACTTCAAAGTTAGAGCCTCTGTCCAAGGTCACACAGCTGGTAAGAGACACAGCTGGGCTTTGATCTCAGATGAGCCAGTACCAAAGCCAATGGGCTGTCAACTGCCATGGCAGCTTTCTTTGGGGAAAAACCCTGCTCATAGAAGCGGAGGATCTCACTAAGCCTACCCCACTCTCAGAACAGTGTATCCATCTGTCAGATGTAGGGAAGGGATGCACTAAATGGTATCTAGCATTTCTCTTAGTCCTGGGCTTTTTTTTTTTTTTTTTTCTTCTTTTGTATTGTTGTGAATAAACCTGAAGGAAAAAAATACAAAAATAAGAATTGTGCAGGAAATATTAGACTTTCATTATTTCTTCCTTTATCTTTAGGACTTTCAACCAGGCTTACTCTTTGTTTTGGATTTTTATCTTCAGTGTACTGATGTTTTTTTAATCAAGATTGGCTACTTACCATGCTTGTGCTTATGCACGGAATAAATATGTGGTAGTGATTAAATGTATAGGATATATACATATATAGAGAGATCTCAAACTTTCTTGTACTATTTTTGAAATTTCTATTCTTGTTTAAAGTAAGTCACATTTAAAGATCAATGTACAGAAAGGCAATTTGACAGATTATAAATGTTTAAAAAATTATATTTATAAGACTAGCATAACAGGAAAATGATTGTTATATTAGTTTAAAAAAGTAGTATACAAATTTTAATATGCAATGTTACTATAATTATATACGAAAATGCAAAAACCAATTATAAATTTTTAAAGTGAAAGGAAATAAAATGTGAACATGTCCAGATGTTATGGCTAATAGATAACTTATTTTATTCTATTTTTCTCTGATGTTAAAGTTTTATGCAATAAGCATACATTTCCTTTTTCCCTTTTGGATTCACTTTTTCTTTTACTGAAGTTTACCCTTTGATGGTGTGAAGTTTTACTACAATATGTTTAGAATGTGAATTTACTTCTAGTTCTTTTGCATGGCTTTGGTATTTATTTTAAATATGGGGACTCTTCTTTAAGGCTAAAAAGTTTTCTATGCATATCAATTCATTTAAATATTGTTTTTCCATGTTTCCTTTATTCTCTACCTTTAGAAGTTTTAATAATTAAGCATCTAACTTTATCCTTTGTTTATTCCTGTGTCACTTGGAGAAAATTTCCTAAGTAGTATCACCCATTTCACTAATTTTTTCTCGTACGCTTATATGAGATATTTACTCATCTTTTTGATATTTTTGGTCTAATTATTTTCAATTTCAATAATTCAATTTTCTTCATTTTTTCTACCCATCTGTCTTTGAGTCATGTCTCTT